CTCCAGGAGCCAAACAAAGGAGTCTGGAGTCATGAACTCTGGAGGCAGCAAAAATCTTCCGCAGCAGCTCTGACAACGAGAAGGAATGCCTGTTACTACCAGTTCTCTATGAACCGGCCCTTAGTAGAGTTTGAGATCTGTCCCCAGTGGGGATGGTAAAGGCGTACTTACAGAAAATTCATGTCATTGGCTTCTTGGCCCACTGGCCAGGGGATTTGGCCTTTCCTTCTGGCCCAGGAATATATGTGTGACTGTCACACTTGACACACATAAATGAGAGAATATTTAGCTCTGTGGCTAATGTTGTTGTAATGTGGTTAATGTGGTGCCGTAGAACCAACTAAGACTCGTAGCAACCTTTCGTACAATAGAATGAAGTATTACCCGGTCCTGGGTGGTCCTCACAATCACTGCTACGTCTGAGTCCATGCTGTGCTTCTTGTTAGGGGTCTTTCTCTTATTCACTGACTCTCCCCTTTACCAAACACAATGTCCTTCTCCAGGGGCTTGGTCCCTCCTGATGACACGTCCAAAGTAAGAAAAGGAAACTCCCAGCATCCTGGCTCTAAGAAGCATTCTAGCTGTACTTTCTCCAAGAGAGATTTGTTCTTGTGATTAATACATCTTATGAAAATCAGTGACCTTTGTCCTAAACTGGCCTCTCTAAGGACTCCCAGTCTTGAAATAATGCTATTTCCCTTTTAACTTGACAATGGGAATATGTTAACAGTAACATATCACATCATAGGAAAACACCATCACCTTTTTTGCTAGGAGATGTTACCTGTGATAAATGCACAGAAAAAAATTTTTTTAAAGGAAGTGATTTTTAAGTATTCATTTCCCAGAGAAGGCTTTCATAATCTATGAGGCAATCTCAACTGTCACCTTCTTATTCCTTCAGTAGAGCTGAGAAGCAGAATGAGGAACCGTACTTGGGTGATAGAATCTCATATCTTCAAGCAGGTCTGTGGTGGGTTCCCTCACCATTGTCTCCTCAGCCCTTTTCGAGGCTTGCCAGAGGAGATACTTAATACATTTTTGTTGAGCTATTGTAAACTTATGTTTGTTGTATTTACTCATATATATCCAAAGCCCAGCACATAGTCTGTAATTGATAAATATTTGCTGATTAAATGAATAGCTAATCCCAACCCAGACTGTGACTAATAGGGTCCTCGGCATTCTTCTACACCCTCTTCAGTGACTTACTTCTCTGTTTTGACAACATTGCCTTCCTTCCTTATAATTTTATTTGTGAAACAGCATATTTTAGCACTAAACTTGCTTAGGATCTAGAAACAGACAAGGCTGTTTTCAATTCACAGAAACTTGGTTTTGCTACATGTAAGGTGCACAATCAGTTTGACCTCCAGTCTCAGATTCTTCAGTGGTTAAAAAGAATAAATATTATCCCCGGTGTAGCGCTGTAGGATAAACATTGGACTGCTAACCACAAGGTCAGTGGTTCAAACCCACCAGCTGCTTCTTGGAAACAGGGTTGCTATGAATCGGAACCAATTTGACAACAACTGGAGGTAGAGAGAAGTGGTGCTGTGGGCTAGGCATTGGGCTGCTAACCGTAATGTCAGTGGTTCAAACTCAAGAACCACTCCTCAGGAGAAAGATGAGACTGTCTACTCCCATAAAGATTTGCAGTCTTTACATAAGACTATAGGTAGAAGCCTGAACCACATGCAGATCTCCAGAGATGGGAAATTTCCACTTGAAAGAACGAGCAGACCAGCCTGGAGCAGCTAGAAGAACAGAAGATACTTCTTGAAAGAAAGCCCTACAGGAAAAATACAAAACAGTAGAGGCAGACGGACTGTTACTACAAGAACAAACAAGTTGCTTGCCTGGGAAACATCAAGGCAAGTGGTCGGGTCCCCTCAGTGCAAACCCCCTTCCAAGAATAAGGCTCAATGGGAATACACGCTCTGATTGGTGACCACGCTCGTCACCGATAAGGGGAAGTGAGGGAAAAACAGCAATGAAGTGGCGAGCTAAGCCCTACAATGTGGAGAGTGAAGCGTTCAGCTGATAAAAAGAGAGGGCATATGCACAAGAACACCCACACTTGCAGATAATACCCACTTGACCTGGCTTCAATGACTGGATGATCAGAGCTCAACCAGAAGAAGAAAGAAAAGGAAAAAAGGAGTAATCTGATGCAATTTGATGAACTTGACCTACACCTATGGAAGCAGTAGCTCAAAAGAGGGAACAAGTCCTTACAGCAAGAACCATTCCAACCCCCTCCACACACAGAGTAGACAGGGATGGGCAACTTGGACATTGGCTACCCAAAATGAGGGGCGGGGGCTACAAAGGCAAGAAGTGACTGGCTTACAAGTTTTCAAGAGGGAACCTAGAGCCAGGGGGCCTGGAGGAAGGTAGAATCTCCAGTGAGTAGTATCCAATCTGTCTAGGCGGAACTGATGAAATGAAATGCAGATGGGTCTCTTGTGATACAATAGTGAATAATTGTTATCAGGACTGATTGTGATGGTTGGAAATGTAAAGGTAGACATTTTATAGCAAGGAAGGGAGTCATTAACTTTCCATTCTAGGAGTGGAAGTCACTAGGACCATCAACAGAGAAGAGCCGAGAGCAGGACCCTACCCAGAGAAGCAGCAAAGATGGAGGCAGAGACGATGACGTGGAGTGATGGTGCAGCTGGGGACTTTAGATCCAGAGAGGGAGAGCGACTGTGTGCTGAAGACTAGGGGGGTGGTAGTGTAGGGGGCAGGCTTGCAGGGTATACCCTTTGGTTGATTGATGATGCATGGAGGGAATTGTAACCATGGCAATGAAACAATATACGATAGAATGAATGTAAAACTAATGTTCTCCTATGTAAACGATCATATAATTCACAATAAAACATTAAAAAAAAAAAGATTTGCAGGTGGAAACCATATGTAGGGGTGCTGTGAGGTGCAATGAACAGAATGGCAGCAGCTTTAACCTGGAGGTTGCTATGAGTACCCCACCTACCATGGGGAGAAGGTTCAGGGAATTTCTTCAGCTCATCCAAGAAAGTAGATCCTCAGCTAGGGACCCCACCCCCAAGTTTTGTGTTCACAAATTCACAAGAAACTCCCCTAAAGTAGTTGTCCTGGGTATTTGTTTCTATCCAAAAATTTTTTTAAAAATATTAAAGTGCTGAAAAAGAAAGGAGCAAATGGGTCAGGGTCCACTCTGTTCTGAATCCCCTCTAGCATTGCCTTGACAGCCACCAGCCACTGGAGTTTCTCAATCAGACAGTAATGAACATTTATAAGGAAAATGTAGTGGATGCCCACAAAGATTGGTTGTTCTGGATGGCCCAAATGGTTACATACTCAGCTCCTAACTGAAAGGTTTAAAGGTTGCAGTTTCAAACCCACCTATAGGTGCCTTGAAAAGAAGGTCTGGCCAAAAGGTCACAGCCATTGAAAATCCAATGGAACACAGTTTTACTCTGAAACACATGGGGTCCTCAAGAATGGTAATCCACTCCACAGCAACTCATTTGGTTTTTTGCTTTTCATGTCCAGAAGGATTAGGCATTATTTGGACTCCATCGATCCATTTGTTGTTGTTTTTGTTGTTGCAAAGTGCCATTGAGTTGGGTCTGACTCATAGTTACCCTGTATGGGGTTTCCGAGGAGCAGCTGGTGAGCTTGAACTGCTGACCCTGCTGTTCAAACCGACCTTGTAGTCCAGTGCTTATCCTATCACGACATACCAGCCCACTGTAACTGACACTCTTCACAGGTTTTTGTAGTAAAAATTGTAACCTTAAACACGACCCGCAAGGTTCTATAGACTTCAGCCTCTCTGCCCACCATTTATGCCTCATCTGATTTCAACCTCCTCCTTCCCTGAGCGCTCACCACATGGGTCTTCTTTGAGTTCTGCCACAGGACCTGTGCGTGTGTGTTTTCCTTTGCCTAGAAGATTCCCAAGGTTGTTAGAGCAAGGCTGTGCTCCTTAAGGTTTTCAGTGACTGGGCTTTGGAAGCAGACGGCCAGGTCCTTCTTCCAAGGTCCCTGTGGAGGGACTTGAACCTCCAGCATTTTGGTTAACAGCAGAGCACATCCGTATCATACGTACCACCAGAAGTTAACTAGATTCATCATTATAGCTCAAGGCAAGGTCGGCTCTTCAGACTTACCCGATACTTCACAGGCCCTAGAATTGTCTTCCATTCATTCAACACAGGCTCTCACTTGGTAATTTTACACCCAATTGTGAGGTTATCTTACTTATGTCTGCTTCCCCCATGCTCTCTGAGAGCAGACGTTAGCGTTAGGGACGATTTGGATTCCCTTTGTATCTCCAGGGTCCAGAATGGCACCCACACTTGGTAGGTGCTCAGCAAGTGTTTGTTGGAATGAAAGGTTTCCAGGATCCGGATGAGGATCTGGGGACAGAAGAGTGAGAGTCCAGGTCCCCACTTGGGGACCAATAAACAGAAGAGAAGTCTACTGCCCAAAGCCTAGGTCTCTAGCCTTTCTCTTGAGCGATTCCATGCACCAGCCATTCCCAGCTGCAGAAAATTCGGAGGGAGGGGTGGGTTTAAGGGCGGATGATCAGCAGAACAAAGGTCAGATCTTTATGGCGATCCAAGGTGGCCAGTATGGACGTAAGAGCCATGTTGCTCGGTTCTGGCCGGCCTCCAGGTGACCCCTTTCCCAGTCCCTTCTGCTCCACGGGGTGCAATCTCGCCGGCACCCGGGCGCTCCAGCCAATGCGCCCTGCGCGCGCGCCAGCTGCTCCCGGGCCCAGCGCTTGGCAGCCCGGTGATTGGCAGCCCCCAGCCTCAGCCCCGGTGCGCCCTCCCACCCAAGGTGAAGTCCAACCCCTACCAGCCCCAGGGCCGCCTTCTCCTCCTCTCCGCCCCGCGGGCGCCCAGCGCAGAGCCGGATCCGGCCGCGCACTTCCCGCCGCGGCGGCAGAGCAACAGGGTTCTCAGCGCTAAGGTTGGTTCAGTCAGCGCCAGGGCCGGGCCATGAAAGTCGAATTCGCGCCGCTCAACATCCCGCTGGCTCGGCGGCTGCAGACAGCGGCTGTTCTGCAGTGGGTCCTGTCCTTCCTGCTGCTAGGTAAGGGACCCGCGCGCTCTGCTCAGGGGGCAGCCAGGCTGAGCGCGGAGGGCATGGGCCTTGGGGAACTCTCTTATAACCGTGCCACCCTTGTTCCCTTGTCAGCAGAGCAGGAGGTCAAAGAGGACGTCTGGAGCTAACTCTCTTCTTTGGTTTCTGGTGAACATTGTAACAAATGACTACTTACCAACTTTAGATTTCCCTTCCCTAGTTTTGTGGAGATATGTTTTGGTAAGGAGTCCTGGTGTGGCGCTGTAAGATAAAGCACTGGTCTGAAAGGTCGGTTTGAATTGCAAGGTCGGCGGTTCAAAACTCACCAGCCACTCGTCGGAAACCCTATACAGGGTCTCTATGAATCGGAACAGACACACTAACAACCACATACTTTGGTAATGTACATACAGCACGGTGACTTACGTCGAATGTATATGTCCAGTATAACCACGACTCAATCGAGACATAGAACATTGTACTTTGGTTCCTCAAAAAACACTGTATTTTGGTACACTCGTTTTTCTTACTGTCAGGTTGAAAATGGAAAAACCCTGTCCAAATATTTAGAACCTAATTCTTTCTCTCCCCACCCTGGTGGCAAACAGCCGTGTTGCTTTTTTGTGCTTAAGGTAGCGCATGATCAGAAGGGCCAAAAGTCTGTCACAGAATGATGGATTGGTTGGCTTCTGTCTGGAATTGTGTTCCAGCTGGATCCCAAATGAAGTCCACTGTAGAAACACAGTGGAGTCTCAGTGGCAGAGTGGCTTAAAGCATTGGTTCTGCTGCCTCCAAGAACTGTGGTTCAAATCCACCTGCCACTGCAGGGGAAAAAAGATGTGGTAATGTGCTCTGGTAGCGTAGTGGTTACGAATCGGGCTGTGAGCCGCAAGGTCAGCAGTTCGAAACTACCAGTGGTTCCGCAGGAGAAAGATGAGGCGATCTGCTCCTGTAAAGATTTACAGCCTTGGAAACCCTGTACAGGGTCGCTATGAGTCGGAACCGACTCCACGGCACTTAACAACAACAACAACAACAATGTGCTCCCGTAAAGGTTCACAGGCTCAGGAGCCCTAAGGACCAGTTCTGCCCTGTAGGGTCACTAGGAGTTGGCATCCACTTGATGGCAGTGAGTTTGGGTTTGGCTGGGTGGAAACACACAGGAGCCAGTTGCAAGGATGGGAGCTGAGCTCAACCTTAGGCGGTCTGCCCTTGGCTGAGAGAGATCGGGGAACCTTACCTGAGCAGGTGTTCCGCTCTTAGAGTGCATGGGATGGGGTGAAGGGAGAGGTCAACTACTGGAAACCCCTCTGTTTCAATGGACACTCCTCTGAGACTATGGCTTGCACACTGTGGGTGCCAGTGAGGTGAATATAATCCTTAAAAAAAATAAATCTCATTACCCAGTATCATAGACACGTTACAAGAGGTTTGACATTTTGCATGACTAGGCCTGTGGTTCTCATCCATGGCTGCACATTAGAAAGCACTTGAGCTTTCCAAAAAATATGGATGTCCAGATTTCATCCTCAGATTTCCTAATTCTTTTGTTTAAGAAAGGAACCCTTGCATCAGAATCTCTTACTATTATTAAAGATCTCTCTCAGCTAGGGTTTTCTAAGAAAAGAAATGCAAAATTTCCTTCATTAAGTTCTAGAAGACCACATTGAGAGACAGGGTAATAATCTTACATTCTATTTTGCTCTGAAGACATAGTTAATGGCACATGGCAATTTACTGAACGCTTTGTATATGCCAAGTGCTGTTCTAAACAAGGTGCACTTGTTATCCCATGTTGACCCTCAGTCAATGCAACCTCATGTTCAACTACCACCTGTCAGTCATTGGAGACTGACATGGTGTTATGATGCTAAGCAGGTTTCAGCAGAGCTTCCAAACTGAGACAGACTGACAAGGAAGTCTTGGTGATCTACTTTTGAAAGTCAGCCTATGAAAACCATCTTTTGTTGTTGTTAAGTGCCATCGAGTTGGTTCAGACTCATAGAAACCCTGTATAGGATTTCCAAGGAGCAGCTTATGGATTTGAACTGCTGACCTTATGGTTCACAGTCCAGTGCTTATCCTACAGCACGATACCAGGAGTCCATGAAAACCATATGTTGTTGTTAAGTGCTGTTGAGTTGGTGCCTACTCATAGAGATCCTGTATAGGGTTTTCGAGGAGCAGCTAGTAGATTTGAACTGTCGACCTTGTGGTTCACAGTCCAGTGCTGATCCTACAGCATCACATCAGAAGTCCTTGTAGGATCAATTCCGACACACAGTGACACTATAGGATAGAGTAGACCTGGCCCCACAGGGCTTTTAAGACTGTAAATCTTTATGTAACTGATTGTCACATCTGTCTCCTGAAGAGCAGCTGGTGGGTTCGAACAGATGACATTAGGTTAGAGTGCTCAACCACTGAGCAGATTTGCATATAACCATGTGGGTCACAGCAATTCAAGCTTGTGCACGGGGTCGTCATGAGTTGGGGTGGACTCAGTAATAGCTTATGACAAAACAATCCTCACAACAGCCCTCTGAGGCAGGTTCTGTTCCTGCTTTCATTTTACAGGTGAGGGAACTAAGAGGTGAAGTAAAGGCTCCCAACCACACTGCTCACTGATGAAGAAGTAGGGTAGCTGGCTGCAAACCTCAGTAGTCAGTCCAAAGCCCCTGCTTTAACCACTGGGCTGACCCCCTTTAATGGCTAACCCTGGAATCTGGCACCCTCTTATAGTGTGATGTGCTTCTCTTCCTCACTGCTTGTCACCATTTGTATTGATGTATGCCTGTGGTTATGGTTCAGTTGCTAACCCAAAGTCACCGGTTCGAACCTACCAGCTGCTCTGCAGGAGACCGATGTGGCAATCTGCTTCTGTAAAGATTTACAACCTTCAACACCCTGTGGTTCTAGTCTATCCTATGGTATCACTGTGAGTCTGAATTGACGAGACAGCAACAGGTTGTTACTATGATTTTTTGGTGGGGGTGGTTATACAGAGGTCTCTAAGTCATGTGACTCTATTTATTCAATCTGTATGCTGAGCAAATCATTGAGAAACTGGAATACATAAAGAAGAACAGGGCATCAGGATTGGAAGAAGACTTGTGAACAACTTGTAATATACAGTTGACGCAAACTTGCCTAAAGTGAAGAGGAGTTGATGCACTTAGTGAAGAAGATCAAAGACTATAGCCTTCAGTGTGGATTATACCTTCTATAAAGAAAACAAAACTCTTCACAACTGGACCAATAAACAGCATCATGATTAATAGAGAAAAGCCTGAAGTTACCAAGAATTTCATTTTATTTGAATCCACAATCAAAACCCATGGAAGAAGCAGTCAAGAAATCAAACAACATATTACATTGGACAAATCTGCTGCAAAGCCCACTTTAAAGAGTTCAAAGGCAAAGATGTCATTTTGAAGACTAAGGTGCCAAGCCATGGTATTTTCAGCTGCTTTACATGCGACTAAAATCTGGGCAATGAATAAGGAAGACCAAAGAAGAATTGATGCCTTTGAATGATGGTGTTGGTGAAGAGTATTAATATACCACGGACTACCAGCAAAATAAACATGTCTGGTTTAGAAGAAGTACAGCCAGAATGCTCCTTAGAAGAGAAGAAGGCAAGACTCACATACTTTGGGCAGGGTATCAGGCACTATATCGTACAGTGTTCCGCTGCTACTCAGAATGTGTTCACTGACCAATTTGTTTTAGAAATAGATTGCCAGACCCTTCTTCCTAATCTCTCTTAGTATGAAAGCTCTGTTGAAACCTGTCCACCATGGGTGACCCTACTGGTATTTGAGAGCTGGTGGCACAGCTTCCAGCATGACAGGAACACATCAGCTACCACAGTACGACAAAATGACAGACAAGTGGTGGCCCACATACATAAGGATGCCCAAAGGCAACTTTTGAAGCTAAAATAAGTCATTGATCAGAATTAATGCTGCTGAATTGTACACTTAAACATGGGTGCTGTTAAGTGCCGTTGAGTCGGTTCCGACCCATAGCGACCCTGCACGGAGTTTCCAAGGCTGTAAATCTTTATGGGAGCAGAAAGCCTCATCTTTCTCCCATGGAGCAGCTGGTAGTTTCAAACTACTGACTTTGTGGTTCACAGCCCAATTCATAAACACTACGCTACCAGAGCTGGTCAATTTTCTGTTCTATATGTGTGTCACGATAAAATAAAGTGCTTTCTCAGTAATTAAAGTTGCATGCATAGAAGTTAAGTAGAACTGGAGCAAGAAGCCTAAGGTGCTGGCTCCCAGCTTTTCATGCTGACTGTGCATATGGAAAGCCAGCTGAAGTCAAGCTGCAATACCCCTGGGTTCTGAATCTAGACAGTTTCCAAAGGTGTCAACATCAGTTCTGAGAACTGCACAGTGTACTGGAGTAGGTTTTTGCTTCTTCCTCTTCCTCTTTGACCTCCAGTTCAGAAAGATCAAATTACCCTGGGTGACTTAATGAGATAAAAATAGAAAAGAGAGGTGAACGAGTCGTCTGGTTCGTAGTGTTCGCTTCTGTAGCTCTACTTTAGAGTCAAGTGGTTAGAAAAAAACCCATCTCGTTGCTGTTCATGATACGAAATAGAAAAGCATCAATGCGGTGCCCACAGTGGGATTTTAAATGAGAAGAACTTTTGTGACAAATAATCTAAGAAGCTAGACTCTGAGAAAGAACGGGGCATCTGGAGTGGAGGAAGATTGCTTAGCCTCTGATATGCAGATGATACAACCTCTCTTGCTGAAAGTTAAGAGGACTTGAAACACTTACTGATGAAGATCAAAGACTACAGTCTTCAGTATGGATTACATCTCAACATAAACAAAACACAAATCCTTACCATTAAACAAATAAGAAACATCATGATAAACAGAGAAAAGATTGGAGGTTTTAAGGATTTCATCATGCTTGGATCCAAAATCAGCCCATGGAAGCAGTAGTCAGGAAATCAGACAATGTGTTGCATTGGGCAAATCTGCTGCAAAAGACTTCTTTAAAGTATTAAAGAGCAAAGATATCACTTTGAGGACTAAGGCACATGTAACCACATGGTATTTTCTAGTCATCTCTTATGTATCTGAAAGCTGGACAACGAAGAAGGAAGACTGTATAAGAATTGTTGTATTTGAATTATGGTGTTGGCAAAGAATATTGAAAGTACCATGTACAAACAAATCTGACTTGGAAGAATGACAGCTAGAATGTTCCTTAAAAGCAAGAATCACGAGACTGTGTCTCACATACTTTGGACATGCTATCAGGAGGAGGTAGTCCCTGAAGAAGGTTATCATGCTTGCTAAAGGTGAGGGTTAGTAATAAAAGGGAAGACCTTCAACGAGATGGATTGGCACGGTGGATGTAACATTGGCCTCAAACATAGCAGTGATTGTGAGATTGTTGCAAGACCAGACAGTTTTTGGTTCTGTTGTACATGAGGATGCTGTATATTGGGACTGACTTGATGGCCTCTATAGACAACAGACATTTCAAACCATAGGAAACGTATCCGAGAGAGAGAGAGAGAGATAAAGGAAGTTATAGATTGCATGTGATTGTCTTAGTGGAATATTGAATTTGTAGCTAGAAGACTTTATTTGTTCTTTTAGATCAAGTCAATTTGCTTTTGTTTCAGCCTCTTCATCTCTGTAGTAAGGAAAAGAGAATCTTCCATTTATCTGTTTTGTTGAACCTGTGTATACACTTGGAATAAATACAAGTTACCATTAGTTGAGAAATAGTGTGGTTTTGTTAAAAAGGTCCTGGGTTTTGGGATTCCATAGATCCAGGTTCAAACCCTTTGGGCACTCAAAATTCCTGATCCTCAGTTTCTGCAACTGTAAAATGAGGACCTGCTTAATAAGTGTCTTAAGGGTTTGGGAAGGAGTGAACGAGATCACCTGAGTAAAGTGACCAGCAGATGGTCACCTCCAAGAAGTGTGCTTTCCTACTTCACCATCTCTCAGTCTGATCTGGCTGTCAGTAAAGAGAACGAGGTCTGCCTAGGTTTCTGGTAAGTGTTTGCATGTTTTAGTAAATCAGCAGAAAGTGAACCCGTGATGGCTGCTTGTCAGTGCTCCGACCTGGATGGTAGGACGCCAAGGAAGCCAAGTGGAATGATCTTGGTATAAATATAGAGGACACACTTTTGGCCTTGCTTCCTTCTCATGGAAACTTGGCAGTTCCAGATGCAATAAAACACTCCACAGAGGCGTGGAGGGCCCAGACTGCTGTAACCTCTCACCCACTGTTAACCTTTAACCCACCCTGCATAGAACAGCAGTCAGTCATTTGCTTGGGTTTGGTTAAATCCAGCTTTATGGTCAAATCTAGCTCAGTCCTTGATTTAAGTCTTAGGAGGAATTTAAATACATGTCTTGTTTTTGGTTTAAGATACATACACACACACAACAATAATAGATTCAGCAGTGTTCCTCAGCTACCTTTATAGGGAATGGAAAGGTTTGGAGACTGAAGTCTACTAGACTGGAGTGGGCAGTGCATAATGGAAGAAATGGAGTCCTGGGGTGGTGCTGTAGGAGAAGCACTGGGCTGCTAACTACAAGGTCGCAAGTTCAAACCACCAGCCACTCCTTGGAAACCTTATATAGGGTTTCTGTGAATTAGAACCAACTGACGGTACTTCATTAACAACCACAATGGGAGACAGACAACCAAACTCCCCAAAGGACTTGATGGTTGGCACTCGAGCACTCACTGTTGCTGACTGTATGTACGCTTCTCTCTCATTGACCTATTTCTCTTTTTAAAAAAATAATTTTTATTGTAGCACACAGCACAGACTTAAAACAAATATATGTTGTTGTTGTTAAGTGCCGTTGAGTCGATTCCGACCCATAACGACCCTGTATAGGGTTTCCAAAGAGCAGCTGGTGAGCTTGAACCACCGACATTGCAGTTCAAATGACTTTGCAGTCTGACACATTAGCCCACAGCACCCATCATACCAGAACTCCAAAACAAATATATAGCTAAGCTTAATAGGTCACACTAAAGTGAATACTCTTGTAACTACATTTCGTCAGTTTTTGTTCCGTGGATTTTAATGCCCACTTAAAATGTGCGTAAGCATTAAGATTGCTCTGTCACTCTGAGATGTTACAAGAAGTGTCACATGCGTTCAGATCTAAAGTACCTTTTAGGCCGTTACAGTCACTGTCAATAGAGATCCTGAAAATGATGTTTGTTGCCCAAAGGTTCCCTCATACTGGGCACACGAATGTTGGCTGCTCAGTCAAGGGGGTGTACCCTCTACATGCCTCTGCTTAGCAATGTCCCTCCATACAACGGGGGAGGCAGTGTGTGGTCATGGCTAAGGGAATGGACTTCGAAATCAGACAGATCAACCACTTACATCTTTACTATGTGACTTGGGCAATTGAATGAATCTCTCTACCCTTCCATTTCTCCTTTTCTAAAGACAGACAGTGGAGGGCTAGTTTATCCGTATCAAGACTGTTGTTTTAGCTGCTGCCAAGTTGACCCCTGACTCTTGGTGACCCATATACAACAGAAGAAAATGTCACCTGGTCCTATGCCACCTCCGCGATGGCCAGTGGATCAGACTGCTGTGATTCACAGAATTTTCATACCGTAGTGGTTACGAATCGGGCTGCGAACCGCAAGGTCAGCAGTTCGAAATTACCAGCTGCTCCGCGGGAGAAAGATGAGGCTTTCTGCTCCCATAAAGATTTACAGCCTCGGAAACCCTGTTCAGGGTCGCTGTGGGTCAGAACCGACTCGACGGACGGCACTTAACAACAACAATAGTTCAGAAGTAGATTCATAGGCTTTCTTCCAAGTTTGTCTTAAAGGGAAGCTCTGTGGAAATCTATTCAGCATTCATAGTAATTACACAGGCTCTGGCTGCACATGAGGTGCAATCACCAAGAATTGAACCTGGGTTTTCTGCCTGGAAGGCACGAACTCGATCATGAAACCACCAGTACAAATGCCATGTTCTTGTTGAGATTGTTTTGAAGTGCCATTGAGTCAATCTGACTCATAGTGACCCTGTATAGGATTTCCAAGATGCTGCTGGTGGTTTGAACCATTGACCTTGTGGTTAGCAGTCCAGTGCTGATCCTACGGTTCAATACCGGACTTACACTAAGGTGGTTGTTGTCGTTAGGTGCCATAGAGTTGGTACCAGCTCATAGTGACCCTGTGCAGAACAGATGAAACACTGCCTGGTCTTGGGCCACCCTCACAATCGCTGCTACGCTTGAGCCCATTGCTGCTGCTACTGTGCCAATCCATCATCTCATTGCGGGGGTCTTCCTCTTTTTTGCTGACCCTCCACTTTACCAAACATGATGTCCTTCTCCAAAGACTGGTCCCTTCTGGTAATATAGCTGAAGTATGAGAGATGACGTGTGGCCATCCTGACTTCCAAGGAGCATTTTGGCTGTACTTCTTCCAACGCAGATTTGTTTGTTATTTTGGCAGTTCATGGTACTATTAATATTTTCCCCCAACACTATAACTCAAATGCATCAATTTTTCTATGGTCTTTCTTATTCACTGTCCAACTTCATTAAGGCTTTTAGAAAGGCTAAGTGAGTATATTCAGGCAGAACACACAGTGCTTGGCAGATTGTAAACATCTAATGATTGTTAAATCGTATTACATCATTAGTTTCTTGCTATATTACCACCGTTGAACTGAGGTTCACCCCGTTCAATCTACCTTGTGTGGATTAACTCTCCCTACCATGGAAAAGTCATTGTACAATCCAATGAGCAGGCAACAACCGGCCCTGATTCCATGAGGTGTTTTTTTCCTTTCTTACAGCTCAGGTGTGTATTGGCATCCTTGCAATCCTGATCATACACAACTATTGGTTCCTTTACGTCCCTTACTTGACATGGCTTTACTTTGACTGGCGCACCCCTGAGCAAGGGGGCAGGAGATCCCAGTGGGTCAGAAGCTGGACGGTTTGGAGATACTTTAAGGACTATTTTCCAATTCATGTGAGTAGCAATGTTTTATATGGTATTGCTTTGAGCTGAGAGAAGATTTCAAATTAGTTTTCCTCGCATATATGAGGGGGGCTTCAAAAAGTTCATGGAACCCTACCCAGAAAAGCATTGATGCCAGAGATGAAGGCAGAGAAGATGACGTGGAGAGATTGAGCAGCTGAAGACTAGACACAGAGAGGGAGAGGGGATGTGTGCTGACCCAGAAAGGGAGGGGGGCAGGCTTGAAGGGTCTACCCTTTGGTTGGTTGATGATGCATGGAGGGGATTGTAAACATGGCAATGAAACGATATACGATAGGATGAATGTAAAGCTAATGTTCTCCCATGTAAACTACCACACAATTCACAATAAAATATTAAAAAAAAAAAAGTTCATGGAAAAATTCCATTATCTTTCCATTCCATTTTCCCACGAATTTTGAAGCCTTGTCATTGTTTCAGGGTATTTCTCTTTAGAGGGAGCAAATATACACTTTGACCCAACTTGCTTAATGATCTCTTCAGTTAAATGGACAGAACTGAGAAATCTGTGTGAGGAAGACTCTGGGCTCAGAAGAGAGTTTGGACATTAGGAAACATCTCCAGCTCAGAGAAACCAAGAGTCCTGCTCTGTTCCCATTGACAGAGAACTAACTGTGAGTTATTTCATGTCTCATTGGAAACTAATAAGGGAATATTTTATTTCTTTATCTCAATATAAATATACTGTAGCTCATCAAGACTGGAGACTTGGATCCGAGTCACAACTACATATTTGGGTTTCATCCCCATGGAGTGCTGGTTGCTGGAGCCTTTGGAAATTTCTGTACAAACTATTCGGACTTCAAGGAGCTGTTTCCTGGCTTTACTGCGTATCTTCACGTGCTTCCGTTTTGGTTCCGGTGTCCTTTATTCCGAGAATATCTGATGAGTAGTGGTAAGTGGAAGGAACCCTAGTGGCGCGTTAAGCACTGAGCTGCTAGCATCAAGGTTTGCCCCAAAGGGACACAGGAGGCTTTCTGTTCCCGGAAGGATGTAACAGCCTCGGAGTCCCTGCACAGGATTGCGATGAGTCAGAATTGACTTGATGGTAGTGATTAGGTTTGTTTGGGTTTAGGGTTCTGTGAAGGGAGTTAAGTACAGTGATCAGGGTAGCAGAAGCATACAGAATGTTCCCTCACAAACCCAGCTGAGTTTATAGTTTCTTAGGGTAAAACCCTGGGTCCTCTTTGGTATTTCATATGCTGCCTGGACTGGAAGGGTTGGAAGGACCCAAACTGCGGCTCTTTTTCTGTTCCAGTTCATTCCATCAATCTAGCATAGTGCCTGCAACATACAAATGCTCAGTAAATGTTGGATCAGTTTCAAAAGGGAGTTCTTGTATCTAGATGTGAAAGCCGGAATCATGGGTCAAATACGTGATAAATCCCACCTCAGGAGTGGTCTTTGGTCTGCTTTTGTGAGTACTAGAGAGGAAGGATGTTCACTCACACATTTTGAAGCGATGGTAGTGATATTAACAAAACATACCAGCTTGCTCTTTGAATTCCCAGACTGGCTATTGCTTAACTCTGCTCCTTTCAACCAATAGAGGACTCTTAAAGTGGGGAAAGCCAGAATTCTACCAATTCCAAGATAACATTGAGAGAAAATGCTATAAAAGCGCTTTATGAATGTGTACAGCTTGCCTTGTTGATGTTAAGTGCCGGTGAGTCTGTTCTGACTCATAGCCACCCTGTATAGGGTGTCCGAGGAGCAGCTGGTGACTCTGAACTGCCGACCTTGTGGTCCAGTACTTATCTTACAGCACCACCCCAGGACTTGCCTTACTAGTTCTCATGAACGTCACAGGCTCAGTGTATTTGTTTTTCCAAATTAAACTGTTGCTGATGAACCATAAACTTACAGAGTGTTGTATGCTTATGAGTACTGTATAGGTTAATCATTATTATCCTTGCATTTCTTGGATAGTGGGGAAAAAAAACATCTATTGTCTCTTTTTAAAAATTATAATTTCGAAAACAAGAAATGGCATATTCAGAAATAGAATGTTACATGCTCCCTCAGGTTTTCCTGGTGTGGCACTGTGGGTTAACACACTGGAGGACAAAGCTATTTGTACAGCAAGATCGGTGGTTCAGGCTCACCAGCCATTCCTTGGAAACCCTATACAGGGTTGCTATGGGTTGGAACCAACTCGACAGCACTTAGCGACAACAACAGCAGGTTTTCCTGACTTCCTATTAATTTCTCAAGTCTCTATTATCATTGAGTAGCTGTTGGGAGATTATCAAGCATAAAAGGACCAAGTTGTTAATCTCTTCATGGAACTTGATCCATATAAGCCCTGGGATCTGGCGTACAGTCTGTGCTGCCACTACATCTGCCCTCTAGAGGGCGCACTAAACCATTCAAACTCCCATAACTCAAAACTCATCAAGGCTGTAAATCTTTACAGGAGCAGAAAGGTTCCACTTTCTCCTGTGAGTGACTGATGAGTTTGAACTGCTGATCTTGCTGTTGGCAGTCTAACACGTATCCTGCAGCACCACACCAGCACCCCTCGAATTACCATTAATGTTGTTCTTGTTATGTGCCGTCAAGTCGGCTCTACTGCATAGCGACCCTGTATAGGGTTTCCGAAGAGCAGTTGGTGAGTTTGCGGTCCAAACTGACTTAACAGTCCAATGCGTTAACCCATAGTGCCACACCAGGATTTCCAAACTACCATGCTGTCCTTGGTGTTAAGTGCCGTCAAGTCTGATCTGACTCATGGAGACCTTGTTAGGATTTCTAAGGAGCAGTTGGTGGGTTTGAATTGTGGACCTTCTGGTTCACAGCCCACTATAGATGGGGGGATAAATCCCTTTTGTTTTTGCAGACATTGGGTTAGCGTTTTTCAACGGAAAGAAAATTTAAGGAAAAAATTTTATATTCAGAAATATATATACAGTATTGTTGGGTGTGGCACTGAATGGATTTGAACTCCCAGGGACCCTGTAGGACAGCTTAGAACTACCACTATAGGGTCTGTAATCTACTATCGGTACAGAGGTATTTGAAAGATGAAGGTTCACCATGCTGGCTTCAAGGAACATTCTGACTGTACTTCTTCCAAGACAGATTTGTTTGTTCTTTCGGCATTCCATGGTACTTTGAATATTCTTCTCCAACAGCTAATTCAAAGGCAGCAATTCTTCTACGGTCTTCCTTATTATTGTCCAACTTTCACACGCTTATGAGGGGATTGAAATTACCATGACTTTGGTCAGGTGCAGCTTAGTCCTCAAACTGATACCTGTGCTTTTTGTGACACTTTAAAGAAGTCTTGTGCAGCAGATTTGCCTAATGCAATATGTTGTTTGATTTCTTCATTGCTGTTTCCATGATTATGGATCCAAGCAAAGTGAAATCTTTGATGACTTCAATCTTTATCATTTATCATGATAGAAGTTGTAAAGATTTTTGTTTTCCTTATATTGAGGTGCAACACATAAAGACTACAGTCTTTGATCTTCACCAGTAAGTATTTTAAACAAAGTTGTATCATCTGTATATCACAGGTTGTTAATAAGTCTTACTCCAGTCTTGATGTCATGTTATTCATGTAAGCCAGCTTCTCATACTTTTTGCTCAGCATACAGATTGAAAAAGTGTAGTGAAAGAATATAACACTGACACACACCTTTCTTGACTTTAAACCATTCAGTGTTCCCTTGTTTTGTTCTAACAATTGCTTCTTTGTCTGAGTACAGGTTCCTCAGGAGCACAATTAAGTTCTGTGATGTCCATTCTTCACAATATTATCCATAGTTTGTCATGACCCACACAGTTGAAAGCCTTTGTATAGTCGATACAGTACAACTAAACATCTTTCTGGTGTTCTCTGCTTTTAGCCAAGAGTCACCTGATGTCAGCAATGATATCCCTAGTTCCATATCCTCTTCTGAATCGGACTTGAATCATTCTGGCAGTTCCTTGTTGATGTACCGTTGCAACCATTTTTAAATAATCTTCAGCCAAAATTTACTTGCATGTTATATTAATGGTATTGTGTGATGATTTCTGCATTCCTCTGAGTCATCTTTCTTTGGAATGGTCACAAACATGGATCTGTTCCAATCAGTTGGCCAGGTAGCTATCTTCCAAATTTCTTGGCATAGTGAGTGAGCCATCAATTCCTGGAAACTTGTTCTTCACCAGTGCCTTCAGTACAGTTTGGACTACCTCCTTCAGTAGCACTGGTTACTGATCATATGCTACCTCTTGAAGTGGTTGAACATCAACCAATTCTTCTTCTTCTTTTTTAAAGTTTTTATTGTGAATTGAGTGATAGTTTACATGGGATAACATCAGCTTTACATTCATCCTATTGTATTTTGTTTCACTGCAATGATTACAGTCCTCTCCATGCATCATTATTCAGCCACATTTGTTTCCATTCCCTCTGTGGGTTTTTTTTTTGTTTTTTGTTTTTGTTTTTATGTACACCAAAGCACTCAGAAACATATAACCATTCAAAGAACCAAAGGGTATACCCTGGAAGCCTGCCTCCCAGCCACTAGCACACAGCCCTTCTCTCTCCCTGAGTCCAGCGCCCTAGCCACTCTGTCTCTCCACATCATCATCTCTGCCTCCATCTCTGGCATCGCTGCTTCTCTGGATAGGGTCCTGCACTCTGCTCTTCTCCTTGAAGGTCCCAGGATCCTCCGCTCCTGGACTGCAAGATCAACCATTCCCCTCCTTTTGTTACAAAACATCTCTCTTTACTTTTTTTTCTTTTGCAGTTAGGAAACATTTCCAATTTTTATTCATAATATTGGTAATCAAAGTTGCAAAGGAAGATTTACAGAGCCACATATCAATAACAGAATAAGATGGAAATGAAATATTCCAAAGTCATCTGGAAGAGTTTCCAAGGAGCACACACTAGGCTAGAAATCTAGAGTTAAACTGTGGTTCTATAACATATATTCATTCTTGCATTTTCTCAATAAGTTCTTCCTTATATTTGCCTTTCTCTTTTCCAACTTGTCGAGATTTGGCTTTGCATTCAAGAATTTTTTTCTGATCTTTGTCCAATTTGAGCCTGGTGACAACCACCTTGCTCAGGTGAATGCCCACATGGACAGTTGTCCCATTAGCCTTCTCACGCTGCACCCTCTCAATGTAGC